TAACCTAATTCAAGTTTTGTGCAAAAACGCATGATCGCTCCGGCTCACCTGGTGCGTTCCAGCCTACGTTTTGATTTCTGCCGCATCTACTACTATCCACACTTTTTAGAATGCGGCCAGACTAGCCGCTTAGGTGATGAGCTTCGCACAACCAAAAAGTATGTTGGGATCTACGAGATGTTTCCAGCGCTGCCTTTTAGTAACTAAGCAAATCAGTAAAATTTTCTAAAGAGAGCGGGTGAGGCGAAAGTAAATTTTCCAAAACGAATGGTCCTAGCATCTTGAGCAGTTGCTCACAATTAATTTTGCTCGTTTTTGACTTCGTCATTTTTTAGCGCTCCAGATGATTATTTTTTTTTGTAGCACGGAGGATTTGCGTGGGAAGTATGTAAAACTTGGCGTCGAAGAGCAGAAAAGGCTGAATAAGTCGAAGGAGAAAAGGATCAAAGAAACGGACGATAATTTTGAATTTTTGAAACGAGAAATAAATGCACGCATGGAGCAGGTAGAAACTTATCACAGTTTCCTTAAAATTTCTACGATTTTAGGCCCGACTTTTTATACTTCAGGCGTTAATTTGTATTACTGGTTTTTCGAACTTTTGCTGCCATTTATTCATTAGACAAATCGCTCTTTTTAAAAAAGTTTTAACGTTTATTCGTCTTCTTTTACAGGATCTGCAGAAAGCCGCTGCTGCGTTCTTTGCTTCATAACTTACTGCCTAACTGGATGAATTATTAGATGAAAATTGTGCACAGCTATTTGTTATTTGTTTCGATTGCTGTTGAATTTTTCACTGAATGCAGAAAGGGCATTTTTAAGTGCTGGTTGGCTGCATCGGTCATGTATATAGGGTTCGGGAAAAAGCAATACTTGATATGTGTGTCGGAATCCTCTAAAAAAACCATATCCCTTCCTTTTCTAAATCAGGTTGCTACTCAAATATGATATGCTCAAATTAAATTTGTTGGCTCCTAATGGAATTTTGCTTGGTCCAATTACAGTAGACGTCATGCGGCTCTTTCTTCGCATCCAGGTTTTCATTCACTTCGACAATTTTGGTCTTCCGTAATCCTAGCGAGCTCTTCTTTTATTTGCACCATTGACTGCAAGCAAGGAAAGAACACAACGCGTAAAAGGAGAGCAGGGCGACTCGCTAGGTGACACGCATGCGCGACAAAAGTACGGAACTTTGGTATCCAACACTGAGGACGGCATCCTACGCAAAAATATCGCCAGTCATTTTTGATTTTTGCTGAAAAACGTGATCTCTGTATTTGATGAGTTGCTTAAAAACGCGGCCTCCGCGTACCTAAGGATTCTCTCTGCAGGAGCTTGTTTCCCCTCCATCTTCTTTTCTCTTTGTAAAATTCATTGTTATTGCATAGACGAGGAGAAAGAATAAAATGCTACTAATTAAATTTCACTATTATGAAGCTCGTGCACTATTTACAGTTCCGCAGGTACTTGCATGCACTGCCTTTCGCCTTTCGGTTTTCTTAATGAAAGTATGACGAAATGGCAACAAAGTGGAATTTTTGAACAGCAGAGAGATGAGTAACTATCGCACGCATATTTCCAGTGGGTTTTATGCGCTAAAACAAATAGTAGATTTGCATAAATAAATTCTACAAAACAAGAGGCACATGTCCGCTTATGGGCAAACAAAACGGGGCGGTATCATGTAGACCTGCAAAAATGAGCAAGCTAAAGCACTGCATTTGTTAAGGCTCTTGAATGGTCCATTTAAATAACTCAGGAAGCAATATTTATTACCA